GCAAGCTCGCCAAGCTCACGACCACTCCTCCCTGTACATCGGCGGCTGGAGGTTGAAGACAAGGACCCTGTCTTGTAGTAAACTAAAAGCTTAGGGTTTAAAGCGTAAAGCACTAGAGACTTACATGTGGGGCCTAGTACTGCGAGTTCATTTATGGAAAAACTAGGGACCTTTCTGCAAAACAGTAAGAGACTGACAGTGGACCCCTGGAGATAAAATCGGAGAATATACAAGAGAAATACCTAGAACTTGTAAAATCCATATAAAATCAAATATAGATTATTTTGAGATGATTCAAATTTCTGTGAACTCACTAGATTATGAAATTTAAAGTTATGAAATAAAAACTTTCACTCACAGTACAAATTTCACCTCTAAAATTCATCTAAGTTAAATCACACATAAAGCATGCACAAACTTATAAAAATATATGGAAAATTGACTTCAACCTATTTTGGGATAAACTCAAATTCCACAGAATCACAAACTTATGCTCTCCTGTAGAATAAAATAAAAAGGTATACTTGCTTTGCATCAAATGCCTCTAAAACTATTACCTTTAAAATAACTAGTTTTATATAAGCTGAACTTTAGAAATTCATATAAAATTCATCTTAGATCCTTTTTGAGTAAACCCAAGTTCTGTAGAATAACCAAAACATATACTTCCAAGTTGTAAAATAAAAGTATATACTTACTGTATGATAAAAGCCTCTAAATATTTATGTAAGTAATAACCAATATAGAGCAACCTTTAATTTGTAAAATTTGTAGAAAATTCATCTTTAGTCCAAATGGAGTGAACCAAATTTCTATAGAACCAGCAAGTAATATAATTTAACATAGTAGAGTAAAATATGGCACCTTCTGTACAGGTTTCAACTCTAAACTTTAAATTTATAGGATAGGTTCTAATCACATAGTATTGATTAAGCAATACATATATATAAATGCATATAGAAACACACTCTAGCTATAATGAAACCCAAATAAAACTTGTTGAACCAATGAAGGCATAGATCCATCCCTTCCACCAAAACTTAGTACACTTTAATCATATATTAATTCCTCTTGTTTATAAAAATATGAACTAAAATAATAAAAGTCCTAAACTTGTGAACTAGGGATAGATTAGTTAACAAAATTATTTGCTTCATTCATCACAATTAAAGTAGAATAAGTTTTGGACTTCAAATATCAAAGGCATGTGCATATAGAACACTATACGCCTACAATACGTTATAACTTGTAAAATACATAAAGAATTCATATTAACTCCAAAAGTTATGAAACTAAATGTGTTAGTCTTAAAAATACAGATCTTCACCTCAGCAAATATAAACTTAATAAGAATCACCTTACAACAAATTCAGAATAGTACCTAAGTAAATCCTATATTATACCGAGTAAACTTCTAAATTTCATAACTCCCAAATAAAAAGAGATAAAATAGGAATTCTTTCACCTAAATTCATCTTAGACCAGTACCTATCCACTGTGCACAAATCATGCATTTTAGAGCATTTTGGATTTTTCGCATAATTCGGTGTTTAATTACATAACGTGTACTTTGTATAGATGATTGCTTAAACGGTGAAGAAGTGATTTTGGTGCTAACTTTTTCCAAGTTACAAGGCAAGTCCCACCTCCCTCTCTCTTTGATCACTTTGAACCTATGTTTTAGAGGTTATTGAAAATGTTTGCAAATCTTGCATGTCGATTGTACACTAATAAATTATAATTTTGTTAAACTTGTTAGACAAACTTCTACTACTTGCATTATCACCTTAACCCCACGTATATCCATATCCCCATTCCTAACCTTAGGAATAATATAATTATAACACTTTATATATGAGTTTTGATGTCACTAGGTTACTATAATGCTTAGCCATGCTTAGAATGATCTTCCTTGTCATTATGGGCTCATTACAAATATGAAAATTGATTTTGAAATAATCTGGACAGAATTTTAATACTTGTGATTTTGATAAATAAAATGATGGAAAACATAGATTCTAGGTTTGGGCCTTAAGTGGTGCACATATGGTGATTAGTTGTGTACCGATAGGGGGAGAGTGCGCCTAAACCGACCTAAGGACTTCACTCAATGTCAGTTCATTTCGTATACAGTATAACCACATGTGCTAGTATGGGATAGCCCAAGATTAGTAAATTATTTATGGTTTAGCCTTACATTCTGGTAGGCCGGTGTATATGAGTTCGAATAATTCAAAGGAGCTTCCTATTTACCCCGATGTGGTAGTTTAGGTGACTAAGCGTGTCCAATACAATGGTATTGTGCCACGTGGTGGGTTCCCGTTGTGTCCGCCACCACAGTGTTAAGTTTAAGGCGTGGGCCCGCCACTTAACGGTTCTAGGTTATATAACGTGTATGGCTTAGGATGGAGTAACACATATCGTGCTGGTGTAAGGCTAAATCATGAATTTTGGAAAAACGTTGATGCGGGTAATAAATCGGGTACTTATGTATCGCGTGCCATGCTCTTGCATGATTATTATTTCGCATCATGTGGGTAAAGTGTACAAACTCTTCAGAGTTAAAACTAATCAATTAGCCGTGCTCGCGGTTATGAGCGGTGTGTGGATATGTATTGAGTATAGACTTGTGTTTATTCTTCTAAATGCTGAATTTTATCTTCAAATTATGATGAGATTTGAGAATGATCTCCTTGCTGCCGTGGATGGCAATGAGGTGTATATTTATACATGATTAATGTCTACTTTGATGCCCATATGCTAAGTACTAGCTTGCTGAAATTTATTTGAAAGCAAATCTGATTTGAATGTGTTTTATGCAAATAAAACTTGCTTTATGCTAAAAAAATCCATATTATGCCTTCCTTGATTATATGCCTTGCAAGTAGGGTGTTAGTTTTGTCTTGGTGCTTGCCAGTACATTATTCTAATAATGTACTGACTCTTGCTATTGGATTAACCTTTTGCTTGCAGGTTGTAAACTTAGTCTTTTGAGTGATGCGGGTAATCGATTGCTTCTTCTAGGACTTAAACTTAATGGGGTAAACGTCTAGTCGGTGTGCTTGGGGATTGGGTAGACAAGCTTCCGATGTTCCCTCATACATCTATTTGGCCGATCGGCCTATGTATCTCTAAAGTAGTTGTAAATTTTAATCGCTTTCATCTGAAATGTGTTTGCTATGTATGTCCATACTTAAGATGAAAGTGTGAATCTAGTGCACATCCTGAGAACTAAATTCACATGAGTATGAGTTAAGAATGTTTGAGATGATATAGATCTTTAGCCTTTTTTTGTCAAGTCTCCTAAATGTGTAACACATCTGGTCGCTGCCTTCGAGTAGTTTGACGGGCACATCTCAGGCTGAAGTTGACTGGCAGGCTAAAGACCCAGCAATGCCTCCAATATTCTTCTCTCGAGACGTCGAATGTTTCATTATATTTATTTGATGATATAAATTATTCACTTCATCTATATAATGGGAGGTCAAGAGAGCCTACGACAACTCTCCGCACCGCACGGTGCACGCGACACCTAGCCACGGCCTGCCGGCGTTGAGCGACGGCTGGCTCCTCGCAGCCAATAGCTCGCTCCTCGCCTTCTCTCCTCCTGCTTGGTGCTAAGCTGACAATGCGATGCTGTCACTGTCGCAGTCCGGCCGTGCTAGCCCCACCACCGTCTAGTCCGGCCGGCCGGCCATCCCCGTGCGGCCATGCTGCCGTGCGGCCAACAGTCCGCAGCAGTGCAACACTGCAGCAGCTAGCAGCCTAGCGCCCGACAGGCCAGCCGCCAGGGCCAAGCGCAAGCAACACGTGCAGACACGTGCAGGACATCGTCATTTGTGGTGGCTAGCTGCCTAGCGGCTAGCGCCTAATCGATTTCGTCCTGCTGCTATGGTCTATGGACATAGAGGAACAGGGATAAGGACATGGTGTGGTCACGCACATACATACATACATACATACATATATATATATATATTAAAGATATCTATCGACCATGTTTTATAAAATTTTTGGTGTATGATGAATTATGTATGGCGCAAAAAATATTACTTTATTTTAAAATGGTTTTGTCTGTAATTATACTATATTTTTATGCGATTATAGTATAGATATGGTATTTGTTGTGCTTAGTTGGCCTTATGAAACAAACATTTTCGTTAAATCTTATTTTTAATCCAGCTTCCGCCACTCACTCCTCCTAATGGTTCTAAGCAGTGTGACTTTTAGATTTTCTTTTCAGTAACTTTCCTATTGAACTTTGTAACAACATTTTATTTGATCTTACTAAATCTAGGCCGGCTTCTTCATGGGCCGGTGTAAATAGAATGGAATTCTCTTGCATATTTACAGAATATACAACGAGTCAAGGAAGCCCTTGTTTAGTTTCCAACTTTTTCTTCAAACTTTCAATTTTTTCATCACATCAAAACTTTTCTACACACACAAATTTCCAACTTTTCCGTCACATCGTTCCAATTTCAACCAAACTTTTAATTTTGGCGTGAACTAAACACACCCGAAGATAGATTTAGATAGGTTATGGCTATGTTTAGATCCAAGGGTGAAAAGTTTTGGCGTGTCATATCGGATATACGGACACACATTTGAAGTATTAAACGTAGACTAATAATAAAATAAATTACAGATTTCGCCTGTAAACTGAGAAACGAATTTATTAAGCCTAATTAATCTGTTATTAGCAAATATTTACTGTAGCATCACATTATCAAATCATGGACTAATTAGGTTTAAAAAATTCGTCTCATAATTTACACGCAATCTGTGTAATTATTTATCTATTTTTTTCTATATTTAATACTCTATACATGTATCTAAATATTCGATGTGACATGGTGAAAAATTTTAAAGTGAATCTAAACATGGCCTACATACATTTGGTTTTGTAATTTGTAGCGTGTAACTTGGACTGCCGTTCTTCTATAAAATTCTTTATTGCTGGCCAGAACCAATAGTGCTTCCTAAAAAAAAAGGAACAAGTGAAATCTTCTGTCCTCTGGAGCAGAAACGTAGAGGAGACGTATCTGATGGTCAACCCTCAGCACTGTCAGCGGGCGGCCGAAATGGATAAACCAGCGCCGCAGGCGTTCGTATACCGTATCAGCACGGCGGATGAGTGGGCGCAGCTTCAGCGCACCGGCGGCACCCTTGGCGGTGACCTCGACCGCTCCACCGGCTGTATCCACCTCAGCGACCTCAGTCAGGTAATTCCCAATTAGAAAGCAGGGACGTCTGATTTCTTCCGACTCGCGGGATCCCCATGGATCTCTCTATTTATCATATGCACATTTCAAGTGGAGATTTGGGCCTAGTCATTGGTTCTCTGATTTTTCAGTGGATCTAGGGTGCTAGACTACTTTGCTGAAAATTGCTGTTTAAAATTAGGGATAAAGCCATCCAAATATTACAACCCAGGCTTGGAGGTTGGACGCAAATCAGTAATGCTATTAGAGGTGCCTCTCGCAGCATGTGTGATTTCATCTTTTGTTTGCCTACAGAGCTTCGTGTGGAGATCTCCTGCTTCTTGCGTGTGTCCAATTGGCCATCCTAGATGCCATTTCCTTTGGAATCTTTTGATTCATTTAGGGCATCCACAATGTTAGAAAAAAGCAGGTAGTAGGCAATATACTATTCCTATGACTTAGTAATAAGCATTGTGGAAGTGGGTAGTAACTAATGCTCGGTACTAAGCTTATGACCCACTCATAAGAATAAAAAAACATTAAAATCTCTCTCACTCTCTCCTTCCAACACAAGATGTGCTACTACTACATGCTGAGTTGGACAAAAAGCAACTAAAAAGCAATATTTTTTTCTCATGCGACCCACTTTACAAAGGCCTACTACTTAGCCCTGCTACTTATTACTTAGTTAGGTAAGATACATTGCTGTTGCCCTTAGGATGTTTCTGAGCAGTGACCGTAACAAAGCAGTGAAGAATAATCTATATTATCTATAACTAGCATGGTGGCCCGTGCAGATTGCGCGGGTAGCATCATTATATTTTCTCTCATATAATAGCATATATGTTTTCCCATTATATTATTCAAATATATTAAAATTACAACATAATTTAAATTTTGCAATAACTTTACAAAACTACTAATGTATAATATTCATATTATATTTTATATACGTGTTAGTTATTAGTTATTTTTAATATCAAATTTTAGTTATTTGTAAATTATATAAATTCCTCTATGGACTCTAGACTCGTCTTTTAATATTTTTTAATTCCGAATTTTCTGTAAATTGTATTTTTATATAGACTCTATGCTCTTCTTCCAATATTATTTATTTTTATTTCTGAATTTTTATTATTTCTAATTGTATTTCTATGTGGACTCTAAACTCATCTTTCAATATTCTTTAATTTTTAATTTTGAATTTTAGTTACTTCTAAATTGTATTCCTATATTGACTTTAAACTCTTCTTCCCATGTTTTCTTAATTTCTAATTTTAGTTATTTGTAAATTGTATTTTTATACGGACTCTAAACTCTACTTTTAATTTTATTATGTTTATTCCAAATTTTAGTTAGTTTTAAATTCCTATATGGACTCTATACTCTACTTCTAATATTCCTTATTTTTTTAATTCTGAATTTCTATTTTTTTCTTAATTGTATTTATATATGGACTCTATACTCTACTTCTAATATTCCTTATTTTTAATTCCATATTTCTATTATTTCCTAATTGTATTTCTATATGGACTCTATACTCTACTTCTAATATTCCTTATTTTTAATTCCAAATTTCAGTTATTTCCTAATTTTATTTCTGTATGGACTCTATACTCTACTTCTAATATTCCTTATTTTTAATTCCGAATTTCAGTTATTTCCTAATTTTATTTCTGTATGGACTCTATACTCTACTTCTAATATTCCTTATTTTTAATTCCGAATTTCAGTTATTTCCTAATTGTATTTCTACATGGACTCTAGTCTCCTCTTCTAATATTCCTTATTTTTTAATTCCGAATTTCAACTATTTCTAAATTGTATTTCTATATGGACTTTAGTCTCATGTTCTAATATTCCTTATTTTTTAATTCCGAATTTCAGCTATTTCTACATTCTATTTCTATATGGACTCTACTTTTTCTTTTTCTCCGATTAAAGTGAGAATTTCTAGGCCATGAGAGCGAACGTGGATGCTTCTTTTTCTATTCCTTTAATAATATAATAGATAATGTGCGGAAGTCGTTCTGTTTGGCTTTAGAAGGACATACTATTTCCCTTGATTGCTTTGACAGACATGCAAATTGGTGCCCATTTGTAGTTTATGCAAACAGGTTGTAGGTAAATGCTAGCGAAAAGAAAACATGGCATCTCATTATATCAGGATGTTAAATTTCAGAAATTGTGGCCTATTAAGAAAGGGCCTGCTATTCATATTGCGTTCTTTGGCTGTGTTTTCATATATGATATATGGAAATGGTTTTGCTTACTCAACAATCCCATATACATTTCTAAACTGTGACACCTATTGTTTGGTACACTCAAGTTCTACAAAACAATTTTGTGCAAAAGTATGTTACTACTATTGCATATAAGTACTTCAATTTATATACTTTTCGTGATACACTGAATAATATATTTGTCTTGTAATTTGATCTGGGCGTTGTTTATATATGACCTCCAACCATTCCTTTTTGGCACTGTATATGTATTCTTTAGAACTCATTCTCAACCTGTTTTAGGTGAGGAAAACGCTTAAGAACTTTTTCCTAGGAAGGAATGATCTATACCTACTACAAGTTGACACTTCCAAGGTAACGTGTGTCAGTGTATTTAAACTCCATTGGATGTAGTCACATAATAGATCATTTTAAATTAAACTAGTTGCGCGGCTAGCACCCATATAAAATTATATATTTTTTTAATATGATTTTACTTAAAACTTATTAGATAACTATCTTGTTGTCTTAAGACTTAAGACTTTGAAAGACCAAACTTTATTATCCCTGTGTTTTTAATTTTATAGTTTTTAAAAGTCATACCAATTGCTACAACTTTCTTTTGTCATTTCTTTTTTTTATTTGCTAACTCGATCTACCACTTTTTCTATTCATTCTCCTTAGAACCTTTACAAATTGGATCGTATAGTTTTTAGAGTTTATTGTCTCGTTGGGTTTCGTTTTTATAATTTTTAGAAGTCCCATCAAACGCTGCCATTATACTCCTCTACAGCTCATCCACTGCTTCTTCTGTTTATTGTCATTGGGATTTTAAAAGTCGAATGTAATTATCGATTGGGTTCAGTTTTTACTTTCTAGAAGTCCCACCAAACCATAAGTGACTTTGCCACTGTACTCCTCTACGGCTCACCCACTGTCTCCCTTCTTTATTGCTATTGCGATTTTAAAATCAAACATGATTATTCTTTTACCTTTTAGAAGTCCTGAACCTTTAAAAATTGGACCTCGTAGTTTTTAAAGTTTATTGTCTCGTTGGGTTTCATTTTTTATAACTTTTAGAAGTCCTGTCAAACACTGCCACTATACTACTCTACGACTCGTCTGCCGCTTACTCTTTGTTGTCATTGGGATTGTAAAATTTGAACATAACTATCATTGGAATTCATTTTTTACTTTCTAGAAGTCCCACCAACCGTCGACGGCTCTGCCATTGTACTCTTGTACAACCCGCCCGCCGCCTCTTCTTTTTATTGCCATTGAGATTTTAAAAATTGAATATTATTATATCATTATGCTTTTTTACTCTCTAAGAAGTCCCGCCGACCGCCTTGACCTGTTACTTCACGGCCTACGCGTTATCCCTCCTATTAATCGTCATTAGGATTACATTTGGTGTTTTATTAATAGTTTTTTAGATGTCACATCAACCGCCACCACTCTAATTTTGATTTTTTTTATTTTTTTTATTCTGAATTTTTATAATCTCGTATTGGGATTTTATATGGTCTCTTCTTTTAATATTGCTTAATTTTAATTCCGAATTTTAGTTATTTTTAAATTGTATTTCTACTCGAACTCTTCTTTTCCTTTTTTTTTTTGCTAATTTTGGATTTTATTTTTTTATTTTTAATTTTGATTAATCTCGTATTGGGTTCTTATAGGGCCTCTTGTTTCAATATTGCTTATTTTTAATTTCGAATTTCAGCTATTTTAAAATTGTATTTCTAGTTGGACTCTTCTTTTCTTTTTCTCCGATTAATGTGGAAATTTCTAGCCCCCACAGCGAACGTGGTGTCTTCTTTCAAAGTTGTTTTAATAATATAATAGATGGATACTTCAGAACGCACCAGGTTTTTTTTTATCTCTATTCATGAACAAAAACTATACATGTATTTTGCCCTGGTAACTAGGCAAGTAGCAAGCCCATGCCTGTTTGTATTTCAGTAGAATTCATCTGTTCGTTGTGCCACTTCACATTCATAGCATTTTCTCTTCTTGTTTGTTGTAGCTTTCAGATGGCTTAGTTTATGAGGCAGCTGATGATTCAAACTATTTTCCTCATTTCTATGGCCCTGGTCGGAGTTTTGCACCTCTTCAACTAGACGCTGTTATCAAGGAGGCAGAGAAAATAGTTCTGGTAAACAATGATTTCACCTGCAGTCTACTTGATGGAGCAGACCCCTTATCGTGATGTGTAAGGGTGACCTTTCCCTTGATCTTTATAATGTTTTGAAAAATTCGCTACAGGACGCTCAAAAGTTTGCAGTTATTTGTAAAAAAAGCTGCAAAAATGCAAAAATATTACTGCTCCATATCTAACATCTCCAGGAAGTTGAACCTGGTATATTCCAAGGATCATAGTAAGGGCAGACATATTGTATGCATCATATTTATAAACATCATTGCATATTCTTCAGTAGCCTTAACTGTATGCCAAGAGACAATCTTATTTTTTGATCACCCCACCAAATTAATGTGAAGAATGATAGCTGTATAATCTCTAATTCCTGTTAAAAAGGGTGCAAACTTGAAGTATTGATTAGTTCTCAAATGGTTCCAATAGTACGTTTATTGTGAGAATTTTGTATCAGCAAGTTATTCCATTTAAACTTCCATGAGTTCTCAATTATGCACGAGGTCTTTTAGGGACAAATCACTCTTTTTTATAGGATTAAACATTGTTCTTTCTTTCCTCCAATGTTTTCTTTTCCATGCCAATCGCTTTTTGAAAACTTGCACGCGTGTACGCATAGCTCCAGTGCGGATGTGTTTCATCATGTCGCTAATGAGCATCAATATGTTCCTAACCCGTGAAGCTGCTATATAGGGTTGTGTCTTGGTAGGTTGAATACTTGAATGGTACAGGTTGTGTTCTCAATTTTGCCCTCGCCGCAGCCCACGTCACGCCACCGAGTGAACAGCAGAACTGCACGTAGCACGCATATACTGCAGCGCACACACATAGTATACTTACCGTATACGTATGGCACACGTAATGAACTTCTCATTTTAAAATTGGTATCGATCGGTCAATTATGGTCATCCAGTTTATTAATTGTTCTGGCACTAAAAAATAAGCTGATTAGGTTGCTCGATCAACCCATTTGTCTATCCAAGTCAGACCATCAAAATACATAGGCTGTGTTTAGATCCAAAGATCCAAACTTCAGTCATTTTCTATCACATCAATCTGTTATACACACATAACTTTTCAATCACATCATCTCTAATTTTAACTAAAATCTAAATTTTGTGTTTAACTAAACACAGCCATAATTAATTTGTATATGTCGTTCACCTCTTGCCAAAAAACAAAGGCATCCTCTGAATCTCGGTTTAGGGATATATCAGTGGAAAATTTCATCTGCAAATGTCATTTGCAGGTACATCAAAGTACATCATGCTCATGTGAATAAAATTTGATATAGGTGAACAAACAGTATCACATTTAACCCGGTGATATATACCAGCTTGGTGATATATTAAATTTATAAAGAATTAATTTGTGTATGTAGTACTCCCTCTGTCTAATATGATACATCTACATCGCTAAATTAGTTTTATTAAATATAACATTGAATATATTTTTAATAATATGTTTATTTTGTGTTAAAAATATTATTATATTTTCCTATAGATTAGGTTAAATTTAAAAGAGTTTTACTAGAAAAAATAAAGTGACATATAATATAAAACAAAGGCAATACTTACCTAGTAAATATTTTTGTACCAATGACATGTTCCTTTTCTCATAAATAATTAAAAGTGCAACCTATTTAACGCAGAGCTGAAATTTTGAATGGATTTGCATGTATTTCTAGCTGTACCGATGTAATATAGTATTATTAGGGCAAGTTTGGTATAGTTCCAACTCCTAAATTTAGCTCCAGGAGTTGGGTCTGGAGTAGAGTTGTGGAGTAGCCTAAATCCAGCTCCAACTCTCTAGCTTATTTTGTGAGAGATCTTCACCTAGTGCAGCTCCCATTTTAGCTGTAACTGAAACTGTTTGGCTGAGCATCAGTCCAAGAGAGTTGGAGAACTGGAGTTGGAGCTGTGCCAAACATGCCCTTAGATTAACGTTTGAATTTACTTTCATATAGCATATGAGAATTAAAGCTAAAAATTAGTTTTACTTGAAGACCATGATAAATTTAACTATGCTTTATATTATGAGATAGCAGGGAGTACTAAAGACAAATTATCCTGCCATTTACCATAGGAAAAGTATGAATTATCCCTCTGAACTATTGCGACAGTACGAATTACCCCCTGAACCACAAAACCACACATATTAAACCTCGAACTATTGATACCGGACAAATTACCCCACTGACTCAATCCTGAGCGGTTTTTCTCCTACGTGCCATACACATGGCGTCGACGTGGAAATCCAATTAGCAAAAAGAAATAAAAGAAAAAATAGGGCCCACCTGTCATTACCCCTCTCCCCTCTTCCCCTTCCCCCTTCTCTCTCTCGGGCGCGCGTGGACGGGCAGTGGGCGGCGGCAGCGACGTGCGGACGGGCGGTCGGCGTGTGGGGGGCGGCGGCAGAGCACGGGAATGGCACGGTGTGCGGCGCTGAGGAGGGTGTTGGAGGAGGCCAGCTACGTCATCATCATCATCCCTCTCTCTCTCTCTCCTCAGGCTAGCGGCGAGCCCGGTGGGGAGGGCGAGACGAGTAGCGGGCGGCGCTAAGGACATTGGAGATGGTAGGCGTCTCTCTCTCCCCCTCGTTCTCTCTCTCTCTATGGCGCCGTCAGGAGAGCCGAGCAAGGAGGAGGCGGCAGATCCTGACCGGCGGCCTCCAAAGAAGAGGACAGGCGGATGAGGTGGACGGCATCCAGCTGCCGCCAGGAGGGGGCGAATGAGGTTGGAGGATGCACCGGCGAGGGTGCGCCCTCCTCGCCGCAGCCCGCCGCCTCCCGCGCCCTCTCCGTGAGTCCGTGACGCCACAGCCCCACAGCCTCCTCGCTGGCATCCGTGGCCCGCGGTGCGCCTCCCACGCTGCCGCCCATCACCCGCCCCCGCGCAATGCCGTGGGCGCCGACCGTCCACCGCTGCTCGACCTGCGCTAGACGACCCGAACCCCAACGAGAACGTCACCATGAACGCCGCCGCCACCGCCACGCTCGTCGTCGCCGCCCACAATTCGGAGCCAGGAGATGACACACAGAGGGAGAAGCCGAGGACAAAGAGAGACACGGCCATTTTGACTTGCCACCACCGCCCACCACCCGCCCCTGCACGCCGCCATGCACGTCGACCTCCCGCCGCCGCTCGACCTATGCCAGATGGCCTAGAGAGAGGGGGGAGAGAGAGACCGGCGGCCCGAGAGAGAGGGGGAGAGAGAGAGAGAGACCGACGGAGTGGAAGGGGAAAGAGGAGGTGAGAGAGTATATATGACAGGTGGGCCCTACCATTAAAAAAAGAAAATGCTGACTGGATTGTCAAGCATACGCTACGTAGGATAAGATCGCTCTAGATTGAGTCGAGGGGCTAATTTGTCCGGTATTGAACGATCTCTGGTTCTCGGGTTTGGGGGGGGTAATTCGGTCGACCGCGATAGTTCAGGGGGGTAATTCGTACTTTTTTCCGGTGGCCCTCCCTTCTCCTCCTCCTCCTCCCGATTTGGTGGCGGAGGTAGCAGCAAAGGCTGGCGCAGAGCACGAGGTGGTGGCCGGTGACTAGGAAGAAGATGGAGGTGGAAAAGGAGGCTCCCCCCTCTCTCCTGGTGGCCCTCCTCTCTGTTCACCTCCTCCCTTCTCCTCCTCCAGATCTGGCGACGACGGTGGCGGTGGAGAAGGCCGGCTCGGAGGGCAAGGTGGAGGCCGTTGGCTGGGTAGGAGGTGGAGGTGAAGGCCGTCGCACTCCTCCCCTCACCGAGCTCTTCCCTGGCCTCGCCATGCGCCTCGCCGTCAGCTGCCGGATCCGGCAATGACGGCTTCTTAGGCTCTTTTTTGTTATTTCACTTAATACTATAGGTGTTGGTCATAGGGTAAGAACCTGACACCTATTGCCGGTTTCTAACTGGCACCTATGGGGGTTCATGTATACTAGCGATCATTATCATAGAATCATTGATGTGTGATTTAAATTGTATGAAATTCTGTGAGTTTGTTGCAAGCCTGAAACAGCTCAATAGACTCCTGTTTCTAGCGAGTAGTATATTTTATCAACGCCACACAAGTTGTAGTGCAACTAGTTTCTTAACTATTCAGGGCTACCTGTATTTAGTATCATAGCTTGACTTAATTGAACACTTAGAAATAAGTATAATACTGTGGTTGATTAGCGCGTACTTGAGTTTACTTAACAAAATCTTCTTTTGACCAACAAACTACCTACCACGGAATGTGTTGTACACTACAAAATCAAATTTTACAGGCGAGACACTTTCAAGTTGCAGGCGGATCATAACTACCCAACATGCAAAAATCGCTTCCCAAACGCAGTTCAAGGGTTGCATACGAAAATCTATTTTTGAAGGCGACCTCTTAAGAGGTCCAATGCAATAATACACCAATTATCGCATGTGGGCCTCTTAAGGGGGCCTACAAAAATAGATTTTCGCAAGCAGGCAACGTGGAGAGCAAGTGGGCTATCTCCACGTGTCCTCGCACTGGCCACGCACTACTCTTTTTTCTCCCGCACCTTTTTTCTCCTCATCCCCCTTCTCACTCAATGTGCCTCCTTTTTTTCTCTTCTCCTCCTCTCCATCGTCCGCTGCCTCCCCATCTGCTCCACCTCCCATCACTCCTCTCCCACTCCCTCTCCTCATATCTTCCCCTTCGCTCCCCCCTTCTCCTCTCCTACACAGCGGCTGAGGTGGATGCGACGATCGGCTCTTCTAGTGGCGGTCAACAGGCGCGGCGAATCTGGCGACGACAGTCCTCGGGAAGGGTGGATTTGCCGTCGGCGAACTCGGGAGTAGCAGATCCACCGGCCATTGGTAGGCTTCGGAAGGGCAGATCCACCACCAGCGGGCTCGAGAGCGATGGATCCACCCTCGCGCGTGGTGGAGAGGAGGCGAAAGGGCGGCCCTGCACCGGGAGCAGCGACCAAGATCACCGTAGCTACGTGCGGGCTCGAGAGTGGCGGATCCACCACCGGCGGGCTTAGGAACGGTGGATCCATTGCCAGCAACCTCGGGAGCGGCGGATACGTCCTCGCGTCCGGTGGAGAGGAGGCGGAAGGGCAGCGCCGCACTGGAAGCGGAGACCAGGACCACAGCGGCTGCGTGTGGGCTCAGGAGCGGCGGATCCACCCTCACACGTGGCGGAGAGGAGGTGGAAGGGTGGTGTGGCACCAGGAACGGCAACCACGAACTTGCGGGTACGTGCGGGCTAAATCGAGAGCGGACAACCCACCGTCGACAAGCTTAGGAATGGTGGATTCGCTGCCGGAGTGCTCGAGAGTGGTGGATCCGCCCTTGCACATGTGGAGAGGAGGCGGAAGGGTGGCGCAACACCAGGAGTGGCGACCACGACCACGACGGCGATGTGAGTGCTTGGAAGAGGGCGGATCCGTCCTCGCGTGCTGCACGGAGGAGGCGGAAGGGCGGCACGACATCGCGAGCGGCAACCACAACCGCAGGCAGCGGGGGCAAGGGCTGTAGCGCGGCACACAACGGCGGCGACCAAGGGTTTGGGTTTTGGATTTTTTTTTCTTTTTTTATTTTTTAAATCATTGCAATCAAGCATCCTTATTTGCCCGCATGCAAAAATCGGGTCTTTGCAAGCGGCTTTCTTAGGTCATCTGTCCGCGAAAATGATTTTATGCATGCAATTGTGTTGCCCGCATGCAAAATGCCGATTTTTGCAGACACCTGGCGCTCCAGGCGAGTGCTCACTCGCCTGTGAAAATTAGTTTTTGTCGGCATGAAAAGATCATTTATGTAGTATAGTGGTATATTGTGCAGACATCTAAACAACACATTTTTTTTCTTCTCTCTTTCTCTCGGTCAGGAAATTATGGAGAATAAAAATAAAATGGTATTACATTTTAAAAGTATAATGGGATGCATAAAACCCACGAAACACTAGACTCACACGGTCATGGCGTAAACATGTACACCAAAATGCTGTCTAAATATCTTTGTATTTAGTATAATCCCTCTGGTTTTTGACGGATAATGTCGTTAATTTTTGAACTACCATTTGTCTCATATTTTTTTGCAAATATTAAAAGCATAAGTCATGCTTAAATTATTTAATGATTAAAAAAATCAGAACAAAATAAATGGCAATAACATATTTTTTTTAACAAGATAAATGGTTAAATGTATATTTAAAAGTCGATGTTATCGTACTCTAGAACACGTAGGGAATATAATGCATGTGTATGTGATTTGTTGGGTTAGAACATCTATGTTCACTAAGCTATAACTGAAGAAAAATATATGAAACTTCTTGAATGTATACCATGTTTCACAATGTTTATTTCAGATTCTGTGAAATTTCATGATAGTTTTATAGGTTTGATGATGTATCCTGGTGTTAAGAACTTAAGTGAAACTTATTTCAAGATAACCTGGTGTAAAGTGAAAGTATATGCTAAACCTAGTGCAAAACGAAACACGATGCGGTTTATACCCGATGTAGTACAATTTATTGAGCTAGTGTCATAGTGATCACGCCGTTGTCCAAAACATCACATATTCTGTGACTGGAGATAGAATTCGTTCCAACATGACAAGAAAACACGCGGGAAGTCATGTTGTCCTTAGGATCTTGTCAAGAGTTTTGACTTGAAAACAGCAAAAGTATTTAGTTATCCAAAAGGTCAGCCGTGCTTATTGCAGGACATTGAATTCATCTTGTTGAATGTGTCGCCCATCGCACTTGGTTCATCCGTACTTGGTCCTGCGCGTTGCCAAACTCCCGTAAAATCTCAATCCTATGAGTCATGAATCTCGAATCAAATTTGTACCATGCCAAGTTACCAAGTTGCCTCGTTGTAGCGCGTCGCTGTTTGAACTCTTTGCAAATTACTGCCGGGCCAAAGGATTCAAATTTGATTCAAATCACATATTCATGACGATCGATGATGCTCACATTTCACGATGTTAGTGTCCAAAGAAAATTGAAAATTGTCAAAATTGAAAGACAATATTCTGCTCTATTTATGAGCAGAGCTCTTTCTTGTAGGAGTACTAGTAGTAGTAGTAGTATGTGATTACATGGGAATCTCTATGCACAATGTGGTCACCTTAATTACAAGTTTAAAATTGCAAAATCCAAATTAGCCTAGGAATCAGACAAGGAGTAGAAGTCGTATCTCAAGCTGCAGCTTCCACCCAACACTTTGCCTCCCTCCTTGGCGCAACCCCTCGCCAGCAGTTGATCAATGGCGGATTCCAGGCACATCTTGCAGTCGCCGCCGGAGAGGTCCTTGGTGCACTGTGCCATCCCGTGCAGCCTCTGCGCACCGCCGACCGCCACGGCCTCCCCGGCGGCGAACAGCAGCGGCGACAGGTAGGCCGTCCTCGTCAGCCGCTTCATCAGCCGGGACACCTCCCTGTCGAGGTCGGCCGACCTGTCCGCGCCCCGCAGGACGCGGGCCGGCGGGACGACGGCGCGGTGCTCGGCGTCGACCTCGCCGAAGAATGGCTCGCCGGAGTAGCGGAGCATGCAGGCGTCGAGCCAGACGACGGCGTCCTTCTTGGACGGGCACACGCGCCGCGCCAGCGCACCCGCCGCCCGGATGCACTCGGCGCACGTTGCCCTTGCGACGTCGCCGCGGCAGAGCGCCAGGCCGTGCACGCGCTGATCCTCCCCATCGCCGCCGACCCCGACCGTGGCGATGTCGAACCCGATGGCCGGGGCCTTGGCCTCCAGGAGCGAGACGAGGCGCCCCAGGTTACCGGCGAAGGAGCTGTCGGCGGCGAAGCTGTCCGTGGCGGAGCACGACGCGACAGGCTCCACCACGGTGCTCGCGCCGCCGGCGGCGGCGGCGGCGGTTAGAAGAAGGAATGCTGCCGCCTCAAGAATCATCATGGCGCGCTGCGCTGGTGAGTACGTGGTGAGCACGGAAACGATTTCCGAATGCTAGCTAGGTTGTAGAATGCAGTTTGAGCGATTGAGGGAGGGAGGATCGATGCGGCGGATGAGGTGGTGCGGGTTATAAAGAGCATGAGGGTGGCGAGAGCGGAGGAAGGGAAGAAGTAGAAAGGGTGGGGGATATGCTATGCGGTCTGAAAAGTTGGAGGTGGTAGAGTAGTTGGGGTTGGACCGTAGTTGGAAGATGGAAGGAGGAAGGCGCGCAGGGTGGGAGGGAGGGAGGGAGAGACTGGACGAGGTCGTACTCGCGGCGCTTACTACTACTACTCGGCAGCGGCAGGCCGGCAGCCTGGATGGACGGAGGAGGAGCCGCAAATCATGCAGGTTTTCTTCTTGTTGATGTTGGTAGCAAGTAGTAGTAGCAACCAACGTTGACCCTGACCAAGCCAGCCAATCACACGCGCGCGCAGCGGGGCAACACGGTTTGCTGTGCTTTACGCGAACGCGAGGAATGTTTTTTGATTTTGATTATAAATGTTGTGTGTTTTAGGATCTGCGTCGTCTTAATCTGTGGATTATTCCTAACTCCTAACACACTCGATCGGTCTGCCTCCCGTCGTAGAAAAACGACTGCTAATATTATACCAGTGCATTTTGATCGCTAATTATGTTTTATTTAAGTAGAGCCAAATTGGTCAACACAAAGTACATACTTCAGTCAGATTTGTTTAGCTTCTTCATTATGCCTCCGCCGGCCAATTACGATGACATGATTTAGAGTTTAGACGGATGATTCTCTCATATTATCTTTCGTTTTAGTTTGATGTCAGTCGTCAGTGGTAATTAATGTATATGAAATTCTATCAACACAGTAATCAGTCATTGATTCTGAGATTTTACTTTTGAGTTAAGGAAAATAGGACTACATATAACTTGTAAGTCGTTGAGAACAAACAATGTTATGATGATTCTCCCCAACTATAAAATAATGAAAGTAAGTAGTGGTTTTCATAATTCGTAGTCACTCGTCATTTCTCCTTTGTATTGATTAGTTGTAATTTCCTTGAAGCAAAGTCCAAAATAAATTTCATTATGTTAAACAAGGCCAATTGTGAATGGAATATCTACATTTCAAATGGCTTATGCTTCACATTCTTTGGATAAAAATCTAAAGGCTCTCACCACAACCCTCATTCTCTATTCGAACTTGTCGAATGGTTGAAACACAATTACAATAGTTGTGGGTGTGTAGGGCAACCTGGTATGAAGATACGTACGTACGAAGAACACATCACATAAAAGATATGAGATTTATATAGGTCTGGGCTCATGGAAACATACGAAATAGCCTTCCTCATATTTATGTGTTGACTAGATGTTGACATGTACAAGAGTATATGGTGGAAGCCTAGCAAACTAATACATTGAGATTGTGATCTCGATGGGTTGTGGCAAGGGCTCCTGATGGATTAGCTTTTGTGAAAAGAGCTTAGCCCCCTCCATCACAAAAATAACGAATGGATGTGACAAATCCTAGTATATCTAGATTTGTTATACTAGAAGTGTCACATTCAGTCTTAGGTTAGTTTTTTATGGGATAGATAGACTATGTCTCTGTATTGATCCTAACGAAAACTTCTACTTGTCTTGTCGTACTCAACTCGGACTTTGGTAGTTGTGTTATGAATAAAATTTAGCAGTATGAGATATACCTAGTAAGAGGTTCACACCTTAGGATACGATTTCGTTTGGGCAGGTTCCCAACTCCTCTTCCTCATCTTCTACGTGCACGCTTTTCGAATTGCTAAATGGTGCGTTTTTTTAAAAAAGTTTCTATACGAAAGTTGTTTAAAAAATCAAAATAATCTATTTTTGAAAAAAAATTAACAAATACTTAATTAATCACGTGCTAATAGACTGCTCTGTTTTCCGTGCAGGGGAGTTGGGTTCCCAACCGCCTGACACGAAACAGAGACACTCAAAAATATGGTTTGCAGTATATGGTATCTGCGAGGAGAGTTAACTTGTGTGATGCATATCACATATTTACTTTCTTGATACAACTCATTTAGATAAAAGGTTCAACAATGAATTGTTCTAAGATAAAAATAAAATAAATTTATAATAACTGACAGTAATATGTGCACAAGTAATTAAACTTAGATAAAAATAAAGTAAAACCATTGGTAACAAAATTAATGCTTAACTAAAATAAAATTGTATATTAGATATCATTAAAATTTTAGTCCTAGCAATGTACAACTTTAAATTACTGAAACATTATACCTTTTCGAGCCCTTGGAATACCATTACAAATATATGACTAACTTGTGTAGTGGTTTGAAATTATATGCATGCAAATCACCGGTGCTTTGCAAACTTAACTTTAGTCGAGGATTACAACTCAAAAAATAGTAAGAAATATAATATATTGAAAATGTTTGTCCTAATTGAAAGTAACGACGGACCTAGTTAGATCTCAGCCACCTAGGTCGCTGATCTTTTCTTCTTTCTCTTTCACCATGTTAATTCAAACAAAGCTCAAAATAGAATAGGTCGACTTATGCCAACTTGCCGGAACATTTAACTATTTGCCACTTTTAAGATATGGCAATTAACGATTTGCCACTCGCTGTCTATGACATGTGGGTCCACTGGCAAATCCTTTAGAACCACTTGTAAGAGTAGCAAATAGTTAATTATTCCCACCTTGCCAAGGTTTACAACAATTAACAGGACATCTCTTAGCCAATAATATAATATATTTCTTTTGTTTAGTGAATTACAGAGAATGAACAGACAGAAGCAAGCCATAACATTTTGACGGCTTGGACACAATAAGGTACTGTGTAATATTGAGAATCCTCCCCGTCGGTCGCTCGGGGGGGAGGGAGGAAAATCGAGCACTCCCTCCCTCCACGATGTGCGCGCCCCCTGGGGCCTCACCCACGTGCCGCTGCCCCCACCTGTCATGTGTCTCCATCACATACTCCATTGAAACAAATCACCCATATATTTTAGAAACCCTCTATTAAGGGAATTCATTTTATTTTTTGTTCCACCAAAAATGTTTCACCTAGTGTATTTATAATGTTTCATTATGTATGGATCAAATGTTGCAGTGAACTGAAACATTCTTTCGCTACTTGCTGAAACATTATTTTTATATAAGGTGAAACAATGACCGATTTAAACGATTGAAACATTTTCAATCTACTTAATGAAACAATTCCGATATACTTGGTGGAACATCGTGCAACATTTTAAAATAATTCAATAATAAGCTAAAAAAATTTTCATCGGAATATATCCATGTGTGGTCTTGTTTTGAAGATTTAATTGCAACGAATTTAATGGTGAACCAGATCATGATTTGGATAAATAATTTAAGAGAAAAAATAGTTTAAAGTGGTTTTGCACGTATGCGTATATGCTGACGTCAGCGCCCGATTTTTCCACGCCTGGATCGAGCGCCCGATCGGTAGTCTCGTTCGTGTAATATAATAAATTTCTCTTGCCATATTAATTGTCTAATGTGTATGCCTCTTATTATACGCATAAAAAAGTATAAAGATGGATATTGGTATTTGAGAAAATTTATGTTTCGTTAAAGATGGATATTGGTATTTGAGGGAATTTTGTCTAACGAAACATGGCCTTTAGGGCATCCACAATATGGATGAAAAATGGGTTGTAAGACCCTTTACTTTATCATTGTGGAGGTGGATAATAGAGGAGATAGCAACTATGCCATAAAAGACATTAAACTATTACCTCTCTCGCCCTCTCTCTTTTCTATCCAACCATTGCTTTACATGTGCGCCATATCTTACTCACACATTGTGAGAGATAGAAACAACTATAACCTAATTTTGTAAGTCCCACATACATTGAGGATGCCCTTATAATCTGGTTTGTATGCCACATTTTGCCATGAATTAACTAAGGCATCATCAATGTTTATTGCAAAACTAGGTAGTAAGGTGGGCCCATGTCAGGTGGTAATAGTGTGTAGAGTGGATAGTACGGTGGGACCCATCTAAAAAGTTATTTAAACATGAGTCATGCCAATTGCCACAATTAAAAAAATAGATGGGACCCACCATAAAGTATACCTGGTAGTAAGCTTATACCCTGGTAGTAGTTCTTTACCACCTCCACAATGTATAATAGCTGGTAGTAGGGATGCATTCAATACTTATTAACCACTACTTCATTACATCGTGGATGCCCGAATAAAAACCTGCTCCTTCGCCATCATTAGACCCGACGAGAAGCGGGAGTCATTTGGTTTGAAAACGAACTAGGACATTGTTTATGCTTTTAACATTCATTTTCAGAATCTCTTGTCACACGCCATCTTGGTTCAAAGCTTAAAAAAATCATTTACCAAGAAGTCACTTTCTTTCGAGTTCTATCCTTTACCCGTTCCGATTTTAGTTTTGTCCTAAGTTAAATTTGTCTCATTTTAATTACTTTTATAAAAATTATACCAATATCTACAATAAAAAGTCAATACAATATTAAGATATATTTCATGGTGAATTTAGTTAAACTAATTTAATGTTATGTTGATATATTTTTCTATAAACCCGGTCAAAATTTTAGAAATTTGCTAATAACAAAATTTAAATGACTCATAATATGAACGGAGAAAGTTGGTCGTGAATGCTCGCAATTGATATTTTTGTTTGTACATAATCTCTCACTTAACCAATTTATGATTCCTCCTTGGCAGTAAAACCTAGATCAATAAAATTTAAATATACGTTAGGGTATGAAAAAGAAAAGCATAAAATTATTATCGTCTATCGATCGAACTAAACATATATGATCGTTGCTACATCTCGATCAAGAACAGAGAATATATATTAAATTTGTTTGTATTAGTAATCCTCTTGTCCTCAAAATCAAGACCGATCATTTTGACTTTCTGTGTATCATCTTAATTTATCATTTGTATGATGACCGTCCAGCTCGTACCACTTGGACGGCTGAGAATAGGAAAAAATTAAACTTGCACCTCAGAGTATCTTATGAAATAGAATTAAAGCATCATCAACATACTACCAAAATTCAATCCTCTTTTTTTAATCTCTAATGGTATTTAAAGGGGGAGTAGCTACATTTATGACGCCATATTTTTCAAAAAAAAAATAGTCGGTATATATTTACATTGTAAATTTACAAATTACATATGTAATTTTAGTGTATTTATAATGTA